GCCCCCCCCCCCTGGTTCCTTTTCACGTCCGCGTTTCCCGCTGGCGTCTCATGCCAACTAGCGGGGACTCCCTCCCTCCCTCCCTCCCGCACTCACGCGCCTTTTACCCTTGCTTGTCGCGTGTCTCCTGCCCGCGCCGTATTCATACCAACGAAGGTGCGGTGGCTGTACGCCAAGTTCCAGGCCGGGCAGGGCGGGATCCTCGGCGACGACATGGGCCTCGGCAAGACCGTGCAGTCGATCGCCCTGCTGGCTTCGGTGCTGCGGAAGAGCGGTGAGTGGGTCGGCGGGTTTCGGGGGCACTGCAAAGCGGGCCGCGAAACGCGCCGATCCGGTACATACGGGACGCGCAGAGAGTGGTGATCACACTTATAATTTTCATTTTTTTTTTCCTTTTTGACTGGTGTTCATCCGGGCTCGGGTGCTGCATGGATGCCAGGCGCAAAGGGGCACTTGCGTAGGGTCTGCGTGTGTGTGTGTTTTTGGGATGAGGTTCGGAGTGTAGGCCGCCAGCCGGGAGCCAGGCGCCGCGGGTTGGTCGCAACTCCACTTGCTTGCCTTTGCTCGAAACAAAGAAGTAGATCTATCACCTACCCTACAGTATTTGCCTCTCCGACGTACAGGCGACGAAATACTACCGTGTCCAGCCTCTACCCTACACCCTACAACGCTACACCTAATCGTACCACAAGTTTCCACCCCATGACATGCTCGGGGGCGTTGCCTCTCTTTTTTTTTTTTCTACTCCGATCAAAGGCACCGGGCGCGACAGCGAGGAGCTGAGGAGGCGGCGAAAGGAGGGCTTACCGGCGAGCTCGACGGGCCTGCCTTGGCTCATCGTGGCGCCGGCGGCCGTCGTTCCAGAGTGGATAAAGCAAATCAAGGTCTGGGGGCACTTTGCGGCCTACCAGCTCGAGTCCGGCAGGGACGCGGACGTGAGAAACGAGGGGGGGAGCGGTGGAGGGGGAGACAAAGGGGGGGGGGGGGGGAGGAATTGTTACGTCGAAGGAGGAGGAGGAGTTGTTCCATCGAAATCATGTTCGTAGATCCTTTTTGGGCATGTTTTGGGCTTTTTGTGGACTTGGAACTGAGGTCTTGTGATGACCTTTGGTTCCAAGCGTTGGGACGGGTCGATGGGTGAACGTACGGCTGCACATGAAGACCACGACAAGAAGGACGAAACATGACCAGGTTTGGCTTTTGACTGACCGATGATGCGGATGAAAAAATGATACGACCGTCCACGGCGGCTTGTTTCTTGACCATATTTATTTTAGGTCATATTCGTATCCCCGGTACCCATTCGAGTGGCACCGCTTCAAGATCAAACGTCGAACAGCAGATCGTTTCTTGTTTTCTGCTGGTATGCGTAAGACTACACGCTTTTATGACGACGCTCAGGTCTGTGTCCGAAGCCGCCCATCGACACTCGTTTTTCAACGGTCAAACGACGAAGGAAATACCACTTAGTATCCCCCTCCCCCTCCCCTCGCGTGTCCCCCGGAAAGGATCTAATGGTAGCCTTGAAGGCCGGGCGGTACGAGGTGGTGGCCACCAGCTACGACCTGCTGCGCGCGTGCGTAGACCGGCTGAAGAAGCAGCGCTTCGATGCCGTCATCTTCGACGAGTACCACACCATCAAGTCGGCCACCACCATGGTCAGCCAGGCTGCGTGTGAGCTCAGGACCAAGCGGGTGTTCGGCCTGACGGGAACGCTGATCCAGGTATGTGGGATGCGGGTACTCATAGTCGTGCATGCCGTAGTCGTTAGACCATTGGCCGAGCATCCCTACTAAGCCGCGACAGAGCACGCCGGGTTCTCGCCGGGGGGGGGTGCGGGGCTCGAAGAAAAATGCTTGACATGAAGGTACAACGATGCCGCCCCTTCGAAAAAGCCTCCCAGGGTGCATACCATAACGAAGCAGGCGAACGCTAAGGGTTTGTTCGCCAAGCGCTCGTGTCGATTTATCCCGTTTCACGAAGTCCTGAGCTCGTGATTTTGAAAATCCTCCTCTTCCGCCCCCTCCTCTCCTTATGGCTTGTGACGACAAGTTCATCCTGCTACGCCCACCCCGCCGGCGTAGATTAACGCTCCCGAAGCTCTGGGTTGAGCAACGGAATAACCCCCTCCAACCCCCCCCCCCCCCCCCCCCCCCCCCCCCCCCCCCCCCCCCCCCCCCCCCCCCNAAGGAAGGAATAGGGTTCAAGGACTACCTACATGGACCAATGGATGCAGGAACAAAGCTTAAGGTCAAATTCAGGACCGGGGACATAGGCCTTCGAGAACGTCGACGCAGACATAGGACGGTAGACGACGAAGACGAGGATTTTAAATGTGATTGTGCCTTCGAATGCGAAGACCGTGTTCATGTAGTCGCGGAATGTCCGTGGTGCAAGGACAGGGAAGTGTGCGTGACTGAGCTGGAAAAAATAGATAGGATGTACAGGGAGATGTTTGAGGCATGAAATAGAGAGGAAGGACAGTAGCTGTACTGGGGCATAGGAGGACGGTTGAAAAGGCGGGAAGTGATATCGTTAGGATAGACAGACTAGGGAAGACATTTTTGAGCCACCTTTGGCAAAGTGTTGTGTGTGTGTTTTCGTCTTCTTTATAATGGCGACAGTCCCCCCATTTTTCGTGGTGAGACGTGTACTACACTTTTCAGCATATGTAGAGTACTAAACTTTTATGTGTATTTTTTCGTACAACTACAACCATCCAGGGTCACACAGGAGGGGGTAAACACCCGGGGCTTTTTTCTTCTTTTTATTTCTTTTCATGCCCCACCTTCCTCGTGCGGTGCGTGCTGAGTGTTATTTTTATCGCGAGAAGGGTCCAGCCNTAATAGCGGATTACGAGGATACCACTAGACCACCGGGGGACCAAAGTAGAAAGGAACGATTGGCCATCGGTGATCGGTCCTGTGGGAACAATGCTCCGTCCTCTCGAGGACGCGTGGTCAATGGTCTAACCGCTAAG